CACTCTCTGTTATAGAACCTTTTATCTTCCTTTTTCATTAGAATGGAAAAATTTCAAATCTCGTTTTTCTTCTCCAGTGTTTCCCAAATATATAATAGAACTCAAGCAGAAGTTTGGGTTATGTCTCTCTGCACAGGAGAGAGATTTAGTGGCTAGGAGTCAAGGTCTTTTTCTGGGATTGGATCCCCAGTTTACACCACTGCAAACTGCAAGGCTTGGGGAGAAGTAGGGAGAGTGAAAGAAGCCACTTTTATGTGTTGTGAAAGTCATTACTGACTCATCGATTGTCATCTGTGTGCAGTTCCCTGTTACTGTTTCAGAATCCCTCAGAGTCATATATTGCTTTTTCAGTTGTATAAGGGAAGGTCAGAATAATTATCAGTTTATGCTGCATCTTCCCAGAATCTGGCAATGATACTTAATACAAGGCAAAAAAGTAATCCTGAATGGCCCAGATAAGAAAAGAAATTTGAGTTTTACCTTGGCATCACTGGAATAATTTTTTTGGAGACAGCTTTTGGCTGCTATATAAAGCCATTAACTGCTTAATGTTCAAACATTTAAACGTCTGTGGTTTCATAAGGTTCTACAATGCTAGGAGAAAGAAGAGCCTGATTCCTTGCTCTACACAAGAAGGGCAGAGAAGGCTATCAGTTATCCATTGCTTACTGTGCACAGTATATTCTGGGAAATAAGTATCACATAATTTGGGCATTGTGTGAGCATTATATTATATATACACTTGCCTCATTATGAGGCATTTTAAAAATGGTGTTGAAACAAGCAATTGCATGTACATTTGCAAAAACAAAACAACAACAAAAAAAACCACCCTCTAATTCGTTCATATATTTTAACACATAAAATATAAACGCAACACATAAAAAAATGGATCATGTACATAAAACCTAAAATTAGGACACAGAGAAGAAAACACAAGAGAAAACCTTGTAGTCTTTTGTTAGGCAAAGGATTTTTAGTTTTATTATAAAAGACATGATTAATAAAATGGTCAAAATGATAAAGTAGATGTCATGAAAATTAAAATTTTCTTAACTTTGAAAGATAAATTAATATATATATAGCCCATATATATATACATATGCAAAGAATAGTTCAGGTAAGACTTTTATTCAGAATATATAACAAACTCTCAAAACATATATTCAGAATATATAACAAACTCTCCTTTAGGAAACAAACCAAAAAGGAAAAAAATATGTAAAATATTTAAACAAACATTTCATCAAAATACATATGAAAAGATATTTCATATTATTATTAATTATAAAAATGAAAAATTAAAGTTATAATGCAGTGACAGTATACATCTGTTGGAATGGCTAAAATTAAAAAGATGACCATTCATTCCAAGTATTGAAGAAGATGTGAAGAAACTGGAACATTCACACATTGCTGATGAGGATGTAAAAATGTACAACCATTTTGGAAAAGAGTTGAAGTTTTTTACTGTGTTAAGTATACATGTGATCAAGAATTCAGCACTTACACATGATGGTAGATAGCAGCTTTATTTGTAATAGCTCAAAATGTCCACCAATAGGCAAATGTTTAAACACTTTTGTGTATTCATGCAATGCTCCAGTATAGATGAATTTTGACATAGTTAAATTTAATGAAAGAAGTGAGGTAAAATAGAATATGTGCTCTTTGAATCTACTAATTTAAAATCCCAGAAAGTGAAAATTCATATTTAATTTCAGAAACTGGGCTAGCAATTGCTCAAAGAGGTGGGATAGACAGTGAAAGGAAAGAACAATACAAACTAGAGATGAGGAAAACTTTTGGGGTGATGTATATTTACTTTATTTCAAATGTGGTTTCATGGAGTATGAAGTCAAGTCATCACTTTTTACATTTTAAATATATGAAGTTTATCTTTTTCATATCAATTACATTTAAGCTAAGCTACTAAATTAAAATTAAAATTCTATTGTCCAGTTGTGTGATTTGAGCAGCTGCACTGATGGTGGTATCAGTCCCAAAGATTATATTATAGATATGAGTTTACAGAGAAAGGCTATGAGCTCAATTTTTAATCCACTGATATTGATGACTGTGGGTCTATTCAAATGCTTTTGTTCTGTGTTGTTACTTTAGAACATTTTATTTAAGGATCACTCATGTCCTGAAATATTCTGGACTATGAATACGTAGTTGAGTTGTGCATTTTCATTGTACTGATTGGTAAATGTTGTGTGTGTTTGGGGTAGGGAGCATAATTTCTCACACAACTAACTTCTCAGTATATTGAGGGCACTCTTAAGTTTTCTAATCATCAGGGGGAAAATAAACCCAAGAGGCTTAAAGAGGACAAGGGCGTTGGATTGTCAAGGGAGCTAGAAGCCTCTTGCACAGTCCCGTGGGAAGAAGTAGCTGTTTTGGTAGGTGGGAGAGCTTGTTAAAGTAGAAGGACAGATTTCTCTTAGGACATTTGAAATGATGTCCCATGCCACTCACCTTGTCGCCAGCATGAATGAGTTTTACCTCATTTTATGAAAACTCTCATTTAGCTTCTGCCTTCTCCCACTACCTCCCCCAGTTCATATTTAGCCATCCCTTTATTATAGAATGACACACTAGCCTCTTGGCCAAGTCTGTGAACCAGTGAAAGAGAATATGTGCTGAGGAGGCAATATCAAATTACATATGTGTATTTTCATTCTTCAGAGAGAGTTTTTAGGGTATTCTTGTGAGAACAGTAACCATACACTAAAAATAATTACAGAATTTGCAAGAAAAAAAGGAAGGTTGACTGGATTTGCAGATTAAGGTTTGTCACTTTCTGGAAAATTTCCTTTATTCTAAGTATTCTGTGCTACATGTAATTTTAATTATTGCCCACAGACTAAATTAGATATTAGGAATAGGGTTTCAGGTCCTTAGGATTCTTCAAAGGTGCCTAAAAAGCAGGGCTTTATTACTTTGATATCAGTATCATATATTGTTCATACATACATGCATATAGCATTATTTCAGTTGACACTTTTTCCTCTTTCTTAGTCACCTTTACATCTTCAAACTTGATTTTTACTGTCTCTTCTTATTCCTACTCCTTCACTTCAATTTTAATCTTCTTTTTCTCTTGATCCTCATTCCCCTTATTATCTTCTGATTCTCCAACCACCAATAAACTATTTAAAATCTATGGTTTTAATATCTCTGAGAGATGGCCTGATAGTCCTTGAAGGTTGAATTTACCAAATGAATAAATAATGCATTTTTTTCATACATGTTAGTTTTGCAAAAGTGAATAATAACAACTGTGGAATAGTCTTAAAATGTCTGTACTCAAACATTTAAAAAAATCTTTCCATCTTTTCTATGAGCCACTCTACTGAGGTCACACTATGTAGGGATTAAAATAGATACAATGACAAAGTTTTATTCTAAGAGGAATCAAATATTCTGAGACGGGAAAAATCTGTTGAGTGCCGCTTGCAGGACAGGGCAATATGTGTCACCAGACTTTCGAGAGAAGAAGAAATTATTATTTTGTGTGTTTGTTTGTTTTTGTTTGTCAGTAGATACAATTTGGGGAAAGCATCAGAAAGATGTTGATATGTGAGTAGAAAATCAAAAGATGGGGAGGGTTTTACCCAGACTATATTGCAGATAAGGTGCTTAAATGTCAGGGAAACTCTGAGTAACAGCATAGAAAAGTATGGTGATGCTTCATGAGATAATGGTTTAATTTGTTATAAGGAGAAAAAAGACCAGATAACTTACTTGCCATATTTGCTAAGTATTTGAATGTCAATATAAAGAATGATGAGCATAATTTAATAATTAATGGAAGACATTTCAAATGTTGAGCTCACTACAGAACAAAGTTGCGTGGTGTTTATGGTTTGAAGGAGGAGACTGGACAGTCAGGATACAGGATGATGAGAGATTAAACTCGTTAGAAATAATGACTATGGAAGGGAGGAGATATGTTTGAGAAACACTGACAGGGTAAATTTTTCTGGGGAGGATAGCTGAATGTACAAGAAAGAAAATCCAAGTTAGCTTCAAGATTATAAATCTGGGTTTGATGTTTTGATGTGATGGAAGGGATAATCAAATAAGAGAGGCAGGGAGTTCAATTTTAGACATCTCAAATTGAGAGTATTGGCAGGATATCTGGTGAAAGTATTTATCGAGTTTTTGGAAATACATAAATGAGTTCAGAAGAATTGGAGAAATCAATTTGTTGATTTGAAAGGGTCTTCATAAAGGTGATAACTCAAACTCTTTGGACCCGGAACAATTCCGTAGGCTTATGATTTGTGTAACAGCCCAGGGCCCCATTCTTAGATGTTCACTACGGTTGGTTTAATGTTCCGTTGTAATACTCTTGAAATCTTGGTGATTTTGAAATAGGGATTCCATATTTTTTAATTTTTCATTAGGTCCCACAAATTACGTAGCTGGTCCTTCAGCTACTAAAGATAGATTATACTGACAGAGGAAGAGTTACATCATGTATTTGGGGAAATGCTTCCATTATTAAGTCAGAAACAAAAAGGAGACCAAAGAAGTTGGAATTTATTGTCCCAGTAAATCCCAAATAATCTTGGGTGAATAGTATAATTGAGTAGAAGAAAAGAAAATGTAAAATGCACACTTCCGTAGACTTGGTTCTGACTCAAGTGGGCGTACTAGGGACTGTAAATCATGATGGGAGCTTCATTTTTCTTCTGTAGAGAAGCTTATGGATTTGGATTGCTAACATAGTGGTTAGCCGCCCAATCCTCAATCCATGACACCACCAGACACCCTAAAGTGATCAGTATACATTTTTAAAAATTCAAATATCACATTTAAGATTTGAAATCCTCGAGATATTTAGAATACCATTGAGGTCTGCTAATATGTGGGGAAAAAATGATAAAGAAAAAATGTCTTAAAAAAGGCTTATAATTTGACATAAGACTTAACAAATGACCTATATTTTCCTTCTACTACCCATTAGTTGCCACAGATGAGGCTGAGATATGGAGAGAAATGACACATCAACCACAGATTTTATCCTCTTGGGTCTTTTCCCTGGCTTTCAACATGTCAGCCTTCTGGTTTATCTCATCCTTCTGGTTTATCTCATTGCCTTAACAGGAAACTCTGTCCTTATTTTCCTGATCTGGCTGGACTTTCGCCTCCACACTCCCATGTACTTTTTACTCAGCCAGCTCTCCCTCATCGACTTGGCCTACATCTCCAGCTCAGTTCCTAAGATGGTTATCAATTATTCCTTAGGAAAGAACAGTATCTCCCGCGTTGGGTGTGGAGCGCAGATGTTCTTCTGCCTGACTCTTGGTGGTGCTGAGTGTCTCCTCTTAACCCTTATGTCCTATGACCGATTTGTAGCCATTTGTAACCCTCTGCGCTACCCAATAATCATGAGCCCCAAGGTTTGCTTCCAAATGGCAGTGGTGTCATGGGCTGGGGGTGCTCTAAATTCACTAATTCAAACCCTATACACTATGCATTTTCCTGTCTGTGGACTGAGAGAGATCAACCACTTCTTCTGCGAGATGCCTGCCATTCTGAAATTATCCTGTGAGGACACTTCGGCTTATGAGATGGAGGTGTGCGTGGTAAGTATTGCATTTATCCTCATTCCCTTTAGCCTCATAATGGCCTCCTACATTCGCATCTTCCTCACTGTTCTCAGAATGAACTCTCCCGAGGGGAGAAGGAAAGCCCTGGCTACGTGTTCTTCCCATTTAACTGTGGTGAGCTTCTTCTTGGGGCCAGGCATTGTGGTCTACATGACACCTGGCTCCTCGCACACACCAGAGCTCGATCAAGCTCTCTCCATTTTTTACACCATCCTCACTCCCATGTTGAACCCCCTCATCTACTGCCTGAGGAACAAGGAAGTGGCAGAGGCTCTGAGGAAGGTACTAGGGAAAAGTCACGTATCTAAATAGTTTGGGCAGCACTACTGTTGTGTTTTACATCGAAGACAGTACCAGTCCAGGAGTGAAAGTCCTTAGGTTACATCTTTTTTTTCTTTCTGTTACAGTTTTAATTAGGGTACATAGGTTATTTTAAGATTTGTCCGTTGAGTCTTTAATCGCCTTATTGTGTTTGAAGCAAATGATTCAGTTCAGTAGAGTGGCATTCATGGAAACATTTGGAAAAAATGGTTTTGGTAATAAATAGATGGAAGCATGTCTGCTCATCTTCCTAGTCTGTTATGTGGGCTGATAAGAATCCTTGTCACTCTTCTGTGCCATCTCAGGAACCGAGTTTGACTTCGTATTCTAAGTGTGACCATCAATCAGGTATAAGAGTAGAACAAAGGAGGAGTCGTGCAGACATTTATTTTATCTAGGAAGGTCTCTTAACTCCAGGCTGATGATGTTTCCTATGATCAGAACATAAAATGAAGTGAAAATGCTTTAATTACTTCAGCAGCCATTATTTCATTGTGTTTATTTTGTCTGATACAATAAAATTTCATGCTGACCTCACAGTGGCTATTTAATTTTTCAGAGTTTTGCTAGCATCATAATTGTAGATTAACTCTGTTTCTCCTATGCTTCCATCTCCTATTATTCATTCTCCTTGAGCATATAATATATTAAATACAGTGAAATTTGTGAAAACTGGAATTTGATGGATGGCCTTGATTATTGGGGTCTCCCAAGTCTTCTACATTTGAAAGGTTTCAGTCTTATCATTTTTTTATTGCTTTCTATTGGTGGAAAATAATTGAGTTTTTCTCTGCCAGGTTTACATAGATTTGGGCTCAAGAGCGTTACTGTATATAACACCAACTTATTACACAAACATGTTCCTGCCATCGGGCCTTTAATTTGCTGTTCTCTTATAAAAAATGTTCTTCCCTTATCTTTATTTAGGTTTCCATTCAAAAGTCCAGGATATCTTATAAAAAATTTAAAATCCTTTTCCTTTAAATCTCCTTTCATTGACAATTTTTTCCCCTTAGCAATCATTGCTATTTAATACAGTATATATTTCAGGTACTTAATCTTCATTTTTATTATCTTGTTCAGTGCTTTTCCTTAGTCCCTTGAAGAGTATGGCACATAATATGCATTTGATTAATATCTTCTTCCTAATATATTACTATTTCCCTAAAAGACCAGAATTTTCTTGGAACTTTGCTACCATTCCGAGGAAGTATAAATCCATATGGTAATTTCAAGCTTAGAAGAAACTGAAGTGACATGAATATAGATTAGTGAAATTTATATATTTCTAAAAATACGTATTTATTTCTTTGTTAACACTATTCTAAATCTATATTTTTGGGACTTCTAGTTCAAAAAAATTCTGTTTCTAATAAGTATTGAAATAATTTCTTATAATTTAAGTCCAATTCAAGCCTTCAGATGAAATAAGGTCCATACTTAGGAAGAATAATAGTTCTCTAGTATTATTGTGATGCCCTCCTTTATTAAATTGACACCTCACTAGCTTTTCAGGGCAGATTTAATGACTTCAATAAAGATTACTTATGTATTCTATTTGGAAATGGTGCATCACCAAGATTGTATGGGTATACTAAGGGGTAAGAAGGAGCTGTAAGAGCTAGGTGTAAATGTGAAGGGATAATGTTAAGAGAGGACTCAAAATGAAATAAAGTCAACTAAATGCCAGCTTGATTTTTATTATCTCCATTTATGAGCCATTCTTCACTACGTTAATGATAAAATTTCCATTTCTATCAGTATGGATAATTCCCATTCCCTTCTCATTTTGGCAGACCACAACATGATGATCAAATACAAAGTGGTCAAAAAATGCCAGTTATTATATATATTTTAGCAGCAGAAATAACATATTAAAAAGTGACTTAAAAGTAAATTCTCTGGAAGGGTAACTTTTGCTTTCCCAACTACACTGATTTCCTGGAAATATGAAGTGCCTTAGATATTTTCCAAGTAGTGGGCAGTGTATATTTCACACAAGAGAAACCAATAAGAGAAATGGATTGTTTCACTCTTCTGAGTTTTCTATAAAGTTATTTTTACTAGACTAGATAGTTAACTTAAGAGCTACTACAAAGGGATATTGAGGATTCTATTAAGAGAAACAAAATTCTTAAATATCAGTACACATTGTATTATTTTTGTTTCTGAAATATAAGAAGCTCTGGCAGTGTAGTGGTTATACATTAGGCTGTTAATCTCATGGCCAGCCATTTGAAACCATGAGCCACTGCTGAGGAGAAAGACAAGGTTTCTAATCTTTGGCCCCACCCCCACCCCACCTTTAGAAGTTCTACCCTACCCTAGAGGGGGCTACAAATTGCCATCAGCTGATGGTAGAGAGTTCATTTCTTGGAGAAACTTCAGAGAGAGCACTGAACAGTTATAACTGTGTTGGTTGTTCTAATTCAGATTTAATCTTTTTCTATGAAAATAACTATGAGAATGGTAAATATGTATACATATATACATACACATACATTTTTAGAAATGCTCCACTTACATGCATAATACTGATTGAAAAGCTCTAATTTTATGAGATTCATAATACATATGTGTTACAACAGAAACATGTAGCAATAAGCATATTTTTTAAAATGCAAGCTCATAGTATTCTCTTCCTTTTTTCTGCCTTGTTTAGTCATACTCATTTCCATTTACCTTGGAACACATGTAATGTGTGATGTTTTTGCTAGATCTTATTTCCAGTAGATTAATTCTGGGGACAAAAGAGAAATATAGCTAAAATAGTTTTGGAGAGAGAGAAGCCAAGAATATATGAGTCACTCATCCAAATCCACGATCGAAAAGAAAGCACTTGGGGAGCATAGTGAAGGAGAGATGCAGGAGAGAGGAGAAGAGCCTAGTGGTTGGTTAGTTTGTTGGGCCTCATTACCTCAGCACGATTGGCAAGGTGACAATATGTTAGACAGAGGATTTGTTTCTTGTCTTCTAAGGTTGAGGGGACGACCATTATTACTTCAAAACCCCAGACAGAATGAATATCAGTAAAGAAACCGCTACCTGATGTGACAAGCAATCCCCCAATTCCACTGACAACACAATGAAAGTTTATTTTTGCTCGTAAAAGTTCTATCCAAAACATTTCCTCTCCACTTAAGCCCCCGTCATTAGTTTTGAGAATGATGAGGGCAATGAATGTACCACGTGCTTTACACAATTTATGTATGTATGGATTGTGATAAGAGTTGTATGAGCCCCTAATAAAATGATTGAAAAAAAAGTTCTATCCATAGGGTAAAGGTGCTCATATGGCTTTGCTCTTTGCCTTAATTTGGAAATCTAGGCATATATGGGTTCTGCCATCTTCAATGTGTGATTTCCAAGATTAAACTGGCCACAGCTAAGGAAACCTGGTGGCTTAGTGGGTCACTCATTGTGCTGCTAAATGGAAAGTTAGCAGTTCAAAACCACCGGCCACTCCATGGCAGAAAGAGGAGGCTCTCTACTTCTGTAAGGATTTACAGTCTTGTAAACCCACAGGGGCGGGTCTGCTCTGTCATATAGGGTCATATGAATTGAAATAGGCTCAATGGCAGTGTGCTGCAGTGAGTTTAGGGTTTTGACAGACAGCAGAGGATAGAAGAGGGTGAAAGATTAAATAAGAAGTTATTGTGGGCAAAGTGTCAATGTGGCAAACATACTTTTTCTATTCTATTTGTCAGACTCTAATCAAATGCTACACTTACTGAAAAGAATGGTGGGAAATAGCATGTAATTTTCTTTCCAGAGGAAAGAAAATGGAGTTGGTAGAACTTACTAATAATTTTCACAAATGGTTCCACAGTGTGTCTTGAAATAGGAAGCTCGTAATATCCACCCCAGGATAGCAGCAACGTGACAGACAAATACACACACTCTTGAGTGTGGCGTAGAAGCAGCTCTTTAAGGGGTCATACCCACACAGGATGATTACATAAAACATCAAAAATCCCCTTTATTGTCAAACTGTCTCACCAGATTGACGTTCAACCAATTGCTTTAGTTCTCTTGAGAGAGCACCTTTAAAATTATGTTTTCACTGTTCAAGGCTCCTCAATTTTGTATCTTATTATAAACATTATTAAAATGAAGTTATTTGTAGTGACTGTATTGCAGTAATATTTCTATATCCGCAGTGTCTTTTCAGTTGAGAAATTTTCAAACCTACTGTTACCATAAGATCCAAATAAAATATATCATGGCCTTCTAAAATAGTAACCTCTTAGGACACCCTAACCATGTATATTGGCAGGTTTAAATAAAGGCAAAAAGAATTAAAATTTATACAGCTCCTTAGTTATTGCTACTCTTAAAACTTTATCACTCATAAAAAGTATTGCTCACCCTTATATTTAACTAAATGTATTTTAATCTACTTTATTAGCTTAAAAATATTGGTGTCAGAAACTTTGCTAAGAATTTGTGACCTACTTTTTTACCAAATATATAGCAATTAAAATAACATTCTTTTATTAGAGCATTCACATTTATGGTTTTTTTTTTAATTATTTTACTGGGGGCTCATACAACTCTTATTGCAATCCATATGAGGTGGTTACTTTATGTGCCAATCTGGCTGATAAACACATGTAGGATTAATTGAAAGATGGAGGGATAAATGGCTCAGTGAGCCTCACCTTTCTAGTTGTCAGGTCTCTTGCTTTGTGCTGGTCAGACCAGGGTGCAGCTGCCTTAAGAGCTCCCTGCGTCAGCTTGCAAGGAAGACTTCCTGCAAGACATCCCTGAGGAGAAGCTGCATGGACCTACCCAAATGCAGCCCTGGGTGCTGGAGCACCTGTGTGGAGAACCCTGCCAGTGCTGAGATGCTTACACGTTCACTGACAAGGCTTTCCTCCTTGGCTTTCCTCCTCATTACATCTGTTTTGTGAGATGGAGGAGGACTTTGTGGATTTGTGTTGGACATATGGGTTAATGCATTGATGTTGGACTTGTGGGCTTAGGCAGCA